TGACAAAACCGGATGTGATCTGAGCAGGGGTTGGACTGGATGACATCCCTTCCAATCTTCATTACTCTACAATGCTATAACATGGAGACAAACAGCTTTTCAGGAGCTTCAGCTGATCAATATGATCTCACTTGTTTGAGACAGAAGTTTGCAACTTACATATGATGATGCTTAAAAAAAACTCTCGAGGGTGGGTTGTTTTGTTGTTTGTTTTTTTTTTTTTAGGAGAAAATTCATCTCTTAATTAAGCAAATACAATCATACATTATACCTGTACAGGGCTCCCACCTAAGGTACCTGAACACTGTAAATACCATTAAAGATAATGAACATCCATTATCAGAAAATACTGGTGCATCTCCCAACTTTCCTTTATTCAAGTTCTGATCTAGTTAGATGCTGACAACAGGGTGGGTTTATTTGCTCAGGCTCATGCTATAGCATATTATACATGCTATACATTTGGCCAATTCTAAGACACACAAGTGGCATGGAGCACAGGAAGAGGACATTAGGTACTTCAGTGCTACACATAACCCCTAAAAACTGAATCCCAAGGACCTTTCCCCAAAACAATACATCCACATGATACTAATATATCTATGCTTCACTACACAGCTACCTTTCCTTTAGTGTTTATCAGAGTGGATATAATGAAGAAAAGGAGATTTGTAGCAACACAACTGCCACATATAAAAACAAATTTCTGCCTTGCCTTGAGGTTAATATTCAGTAATCTTTATGAGTCTGCATTTTCTGCGTTGTTAATACATTCTTCTGGAACTCCCTCTCCTCCCTCTACTTGGGTTTTAAGAAGTGAAAAGGATTTTAAAAAAATAAAGTACATTTAATCCATTCTCTAAGGAATGATTCACTGAAAAGGGGAGAATAACCTCGTCTAATTAGAGCTGCCAGGCTTTTTACCTCCCGGTAAGTATACTAATAGTCTTGCACTAATTGCAACTCTCCCCCCTCCTCCTCTAAGTTTTCAGTTCCAAACTGATTCTTTATGGAAACATTTTTAGAACTCATTAACACAACACTCTTTTCCCCAGTGGAAATGAAAAGGCCTCTGGGGAGTTGAGGGTTCTTCCTCCAGACCCTGCCATTTTTGCACCTTAAAGCTTGTTTGAAAAAGCACTGTCATACCCCAACTTTAAGAAAGCATCAGTTGCAAGGAGAGAGAACGTATTTCATTAGACTGACTGATACAGCTGGAAAAGACAGATTGCTCAGCTGAAAGGAGCCAGCCACAGAAACCCCCTGTTCAGTTTTGGACCAACGCATTGCACAGCAGAAACACCTCTTTGACTGCAAATTGATAACCATAAAACATCTGGTCAACCACCATGTCTGATATGGGGGTAGGAGGCAAGAGGCATGCTGTATCCAGTGAAAGACAGTTCAACTCACTGCACCAAAAAAACCCACCAACCAACCAAGAAACCTCACTCTTGCCAAAACCTGGACAAGACACACATCATCTTACAGCCAGCACAGCCTTCCCACAAAATGCAACAGACAACACAAAATGCTTGTAAAGTACCTATTCATGTGACAGTGGAGCTGCATCTAAAATTCAGTGCAACATTAAGATGACTGGAAATTAGTGATTTGATAGTGTGAGCTGCAAAGAGAACCCTTCATGGGCTCTGAAGTACTGCATCCTAGCAAGCTCAAGAGCTGGAGAGCTTCATTTCATGCAGGAGTCATTGAGCACAGAAGAGATTACTATAGCCAGCTGAGCACAAATCATCTTGTACATCAATTTACATCCACAGGAGAATATATAGGATATTAATTTCTCCGTATGAATTTTACCAGTCTCAAAGGTTTCTTAGGTGGTACTGGGTTTTTTGTTTGGGGGTTTGGGGTTTTTTGTTTGTTTGTTTGGGGTCTTTTTTCTGTGTTTTTTTTTTTGAGTGGGGGTGGGTTTGGTTGGGGTTTTTTAAGAGCATAGGGAAAGGAAGCTACTCAAAGTGGTGTGAGAATGAATGACAAAGAGCAACCTCTAGTTTCACCTCTGCAACCTCTGCTTCCCCAGATGCACAAGTACACAGCTCTTTTTCACCCAGCCACCATCTCAACTAGGCAAAGTAAAGGCAAAAACGAAGCATTTCAGGCAGGCAAGCCATCTGCTATACAACTCTGCTGCGTAAGGTATCAAAATGGCAGCAACGATGTTAAACTCTTCTGAGGAGAGCTATCCACTGCTTCTGGTTTCAACTTTGCTAGCCTAAGGGATAAACTCAGACCTTGGAAGAAGAGGTAGGTAACATATTCAGCAGCCCTCAGAAGCTGAGATGCTCTTAGTTACAGCTGTTGCTCTAGTTGCTTCTGAGATGTTATTTCCCATAGATGTAAAAGGCATCTGAAACAGTCACAGGAAGTTAAGGTTCAAAAGAATGAGCACTAACGTCATATCATTGCAATTTCAGTGTTAGCTGCTTCCAGTAATACCACCCCAACCCCTCCCCACTCCCAAAAATCCAACAAAAAAACCCACCCCTCTATCACCTGGGTACTTCATCATGTACTGAAGCAAACTGTTACTCCCTCACAAAAATCACAGAGAATTCATTAGTCTATTCTCTCACCCTCCTACCATTTTTCACACTAAATGGAGAATATTTGTGATCTTAAGCAATCATGTTTCTAAGGCAGAGAGTGAAAATCTGCTACTAGAATAGCCCATCACCACAGGCTTTCCTTCCTTCCTCCTACCCAACCACCCACAAGCTTCAAGCGAAACAGTTGTAGCTCACAGGGAACAGAGGAAAGCACCTCACAGCAAAATCGAGCTCATATCCTGTGGAAGTTCCTTCTTGGGCCAGGTGCACATGGATGAAAACCACTTGGTACATACATGTTTGCACCCCAGCCAATCTTGCCCTGATTAGAGGCAATCCTGATTAGAGAAACATCAATGAAATTTGTCAAAAGACTATTTCAGAAGTTAAGAGGTCTGAGAGTCAAAAGCATACCAAAATTCTCCAGAAAACTCTAGGTGAGGCCACCCAGCTGCAGTTCTGTGGAAAGAAGTGGATGCTGTTGAAGGATTTAGCAATTAAGAAAGCAAGACACTTGCATGTATTCAGTTATGGAAATGTTATTTTAACCTCTTCAAAGTGTCCCTGCTATGATCAGACTATTATTTATTCCCCTTCAGCTCTGAAAGACTTGCGACTATCTAGATTGCCCCTCCTGCAGATGAGGAGGGATGGGAAGCAAAGCACTGCAGCCACCAATACAAAACTGCTGTAGGTTGTATGAAAAGGACAGACATGCCACGCTAACTTGAAGATACGGGTTTTACATACTCTTCACCAAAGAAAACAACTAATTACCTTGACTCACCTTACTTATGTGTGCTACATCTTGGCAACATTTTCATCTCCTAAGAAGGATGACACCCAATATTCAAGTCTCAGGATGTGGACAAAGCAAATCTTTCTTCTGCTATCTTGCTAATAACACAACCCCCCTGTTCAATAAACCTAACCTGATTTACTTCACAATATATCTAAAGTCTTAACTAGAAAGAAAGCCAGAGGACGTTGCACTCACAACAGGAAAACTTGCCCACCTCATTTTCCAAATGAACTGAGACTCCAGATCCAACCATTAGTCACTTGGCTAGCAAGCAAGACTGAACTTACATTAATGAACACCAGACTGCATTAAAATGTAGTTCAAGTTTAGCAATATGCCAGAATAATCTAAGGAAGGAGGGAATGGACAGGATTGAAACTTTAGACTGTTATTCCTTGCTTCTTAACACCACTAATTTAAAAACCAATACTGCAGGATAGTTTGAGACAAACACTAAAGTTCTTGAAGGCAGGATGTCATCAGCCCAGTGCTGCCAGGCATATCACTAATCCTGCAGGACTGGGGAGGACAGGGACAAGACACTTTCCTCAGTGGAGGCAGAATTTACATCAGCTCCTCCTCTGCTCTTGACTTCCTATTCCCTCATGCCCAAACCATCTTCTTATGTAGATGGGACTGGAACCAACTTTGGATTTATTATAGCGAGAAAGCCTGTCAGAGCTACTCAAGCTATTTGCTTCTGTCATTAAGAATGATCATGCAGTAAACAGGAACACATTCACAGTATTTCATTTTAAGCATCGTATTCTAGATCATTTGCAAGGTCGCAGATGACCCCAGTAAGCTTGGCCAGTCAAAGTCCGTATCATACCAGCCTCGGGCAGAAAACTAAAACAAATACAAAGGATCCAATATGTGAAACTAGCCACACACCATGGAAGAGGAATTTTTCCATACTTGAACCTCACCTCAGCAATGCTTCTTGAAGTTCTTGTGCAATAATCAGTGTGAAAATAGTACATAAAGCTCTTGGACAAAAAAAAAACAGTTTTCCTCCCAGGTGCTTTGTATAACGTGAACTTTTGACAAATTTATTACAGTTGCACTTACCACAAGGAAGAGGAAGAAAAACTGGTGCTGCGCAGCTGAGATTCCTTCTTCTGTATGAATGACCTGCAATTTAGGTACATTTTGTGTACGAGATGTAGAAATTTCACCATCATGGCAACTCAGAAAATATTCATGAAGCTCATTTGCCACAATACTTAAATTGGATTAATACCCTTTTTCCTTTCAAATGCACTAGTTAGGGAGACCATCCAAAAGAAAACCAAAAAAATCGCATTACTTGTACATTCAAAAATAACAGCTGCCTTTTGGTTTGGTAGCACATTTCTCATAAACACCCCTGTGGTTAATTCTTCTATCAAAAAGGCAGCTACAAGTACCTAACCGCCAAAGTATTTAACAGAATTAAGCATGAATTTTAAAATTTAATAAAAATCAAGTATCTTTCCCTTGGAACTCCCCCTTCCCAGAAATCAGCCTTACGTACTAACTTGTTACTCCTTCAATGCAGACAACTACCTTTGCATGCATATGTAGACAACAGCTCCTTCCAACCTTCTTCCAAAATTCTTCATAGCAACTTAAGCATTTAATACATATTCCTTTAAAGAAATTTCAGTGAATTTATTGTATAAAATTATGATTGGCATGGTACAGAAAAATTCCTTTTAATGCACATTTCCCATTAACTTGTACACAAATATTACAAGTATCAAGCAAAATGCAAAAGTCTTAAGAACTAATTCCATACTACAAAAGTGTTCACATAGTGAAGTTACTCTGGTTACAAAATGTGATGGAAATAAAAGCACTTCAAAATACGTAATCGGGAAATGTTCTCAAACAATCAACACAACCTGAAGTTAGTTAAAAAATGCAAAGAGAGAGATACCCTCTTCGAAATACTGTTGATTTGGCAAGATGGAGCAAAGTTCAGATCAGTTCATTTACTGATGGATTGTTCTTTCCAAGAAACAAACAAACAAAAAAGCAAAAAACCAACCAACTTTTAGTTAAGAAAGGGCTCAATTCTATTATGATGACAAATAACGCCATCAAAGAGTTATCTGGCTCTCTTGTTTTCACACAGGAGCTGTCAGAGGCAGAGATGTGTAAATGAACACTTCCAGGTATACACAGATCGCCTTTTCAAAAACACACCAATCAAACAAAACCCCAAACCCCAAACCAGCAAAAAGGAGACAATCTGAACTTTGTTGTTTCATTTAAATAGTTCAGTTCTTTAGGTCTCAAGGCCCAAGAACAGCAGTCTGCAAAGGATACATATTTAAAGAATAAAACTGAACTTCCACTATCAGGGAAGGCGCAGATGCCAAGTTACGTGAGTACCATACATCCTCACAGTAAGACTGCTAGAGGCTATCAAATCTCTGCTTCCCAACAACCCTGAAGGCTTGCTATTCTCAACACAATGAAAACTGCCTGGACCCTATAAACAGCCTTACAAAAAGGAGGCAAAATCATACTGTTAGAAGGTAACACAAACCTTGGAAGACTGAAAGCATCCTTACAAACACGCAAAATAACTACAAAATAGGCAATATGTCACTTTTTGTATCAGATGACTTGTGTGTGTTAGAGCAATTAAACCTTGGTATGTATATCTACATGAAATTCACACATACAGAACATCACCTTCAGGCATTATTGTTGTTTTCCTTTTACACACACACACACACACACACACACACACACACACACACACACACACACACACAAATTACTATCGGGTTAACCGGTCTACTCAAACTCAGTGAAAAACAGTCCACAGCACACGTAAAAGAAGCATTATCCAATACAGTGTTATCTTGCAAAAAAGGAGTCAGAATTCCTGAGTCTCAGAGACATTACTGTCCTCCTCCCTTACTGGATTATTTATTTTTCCTAGGAGAACCTCTAGTTTTCATTTCTTCATGCTGATGAAGTTTATAATAGATTGCATCCTTTAAAAAAAAAAAAAGTTAAACTTTTAGAAAAAAACATGCCAACCAAAGTGAATTTTTAAAGCGGGGGGAGGCGGGGAAGGATTCATTTACAAAATAAAGGCCACCTTCATGTAGAATAAGTACTGCCAGTATCCCATCATTCTGTTTAAAGGAGGGATTTAGCTCCCTGTTCTGGAAGCACTATTACGAGCAGTCATTAGAGTTGAAAAACGCCCTCCGTTTAACAATTAAAAATACTACAAATAGGACTTACATGGAACAGCCCTTTGTTACAATCACCAAAGTGGCAAAACCAATGCAACATTTAGGTCATGAAGTCTCTTTCAATTAGTCATTGCAATCTATTATAATTTATGTATTTTCCCTTTTACTTTGCATATTACACAGTGTAACTTAAAATGTTATTTAAGAGCACTTCAGTCCCACAACGTAGGATTTAAGCTTGTATGAATATGTATGCATGGCTCTGTGACATTTTTAATGACTTACAAAAATACATTCAATCAAAACTTTGTATAGGGCTTTTGTTTTGGGGGTTTTTTGACCCAAAAATGAAGGAAAAGCCAAATGGTCCCATCATTAGCTAAATAATACACTCCAAGTTCTGGAAGCAATTCCAAAGCAAAAGCACATTCAAGAATAAAATACACTGAATTGCATACTTTCTCATTCATCTTTATCAGTAATAAAATTCTACTGCATATAATTATTCAGCCTTATAAATAATACTAAGCAGAAAAATATTTACCTCTGTGCTACTTTTCTCAGTTTATAGAAGCATTTCTCAGTTTACAGGAGCAAAGGAAAAAAAAACCTAAAGTGCAGACTACAGGCCATGACAGGCATAATAAATGACCAAAGGTGCAGCCAAATTTGCATTTACATCTTGAGTTACTTCGCTATCTTTCTTTCCTTGCTAGAAGTCACCCCATGTGCAATTGAAGAGCTGATCGGTTGGTTTGTGCCACAGTACAACCTGTAACCACTGGTAAATTATTATTCTTTTTCTTTTAAACTAGTTGAATTGTCCATAGGTATTTCTAGGCAATAGCTTAGGTTCACAAAACCTTACTCTATTAATACTTGAAATCACACAATATTGACACCTCCTCCAGAGAACGCTACTGTCCTTTTGTTGCAGTATGTGGTTGAACCACTGATGCTTGGTTGACTGTCTTTAACAAGAGATGTCTTCATTTCTATTTCACACGCTACAATAGCTGCATTCAGTTCCACTTGAGCTCGGTGAACAACATAAAACATGAGTCCTATGCTTATGATAATCTGCAAAAAAACCAAGAAAGACTGTTGTAGGCTACATAAACTGCAAGCATGAATACAAACCAACTGTTCGGAACAAAAAAAAAGGCACTGATGCGAAGATTCATGGAGGCATCTGTTGACTCCATGTCAAGACATCAGGTAGGAGATGGACTTGGTCAGTGAGCAGCTCTAAATCTACACATGCTAACAACATAACAGCATATCAGAACATAGACATTACATGGACCTCAAATATTGATACAAATTGAAAATATGTTTTTTTTTGTTTCCATTGACATCCAAATACTTCTTAAAAAACAATCCCTTCACTTTCTCTCTTGGCAAAAATACTTCCACGAAGAAACAACATGGTGTATTTCTGTCAGTCAAAAGGGCTCTTTTCCCATGTACCAAGTGAATAATGGATCAAAATTGTACTGGGCATCTGCAACTTGCAAATTAACAGACAGGGGATAATGCAGATGAAAGGAAATAAAGCTTCTTGTCCTTGCCCCTCTGGTGTGGAAGAGTGCAGAGAGCAGCATTATCACTGTGCTTCTGGGCTATAACAACTAAACACGACTGAGCAACTTACAGCAGTCTGTATGGGAAGAACTTGGCTTCTAGACGATGGCGCGGGGAGGGGGACAGAACATTGGTGGTGTGGGTTTTGTTTGTTTTAAGAAGAAAATATTGTCCAAAACTAGGGTTTTGTTCAGGGTTTTGCTCTTTGTTTTACTACTAAGAATTTTAAACTTCCACCACAACTATTGTCAGGAATAAACCTGGACAATTTTTTCTTAGAAATTACTCATTCAATGACAACAGCATGCACTGCACTCCCCAGAGGAAGCCTCTGGTTTCAATAAAACATCAGTTAAGCTCTACAAATGAGATCCTCCTTAAGAAAAATAATAATGTCTTTAAATAAAAATCAAGCTGTCTCACAGTGAGAGTGCCTTTGAAAGAACTGCTTTGCCTTTTTAAAGAATATTTTATGAAACTAGTCTCCAACTTTACAACAAATAAACAAACAAACAAAACCTCCAAAAACACTGAACAAAGGTTGTATTGTTTATAACAGAACCTAAAGGTTTGAGTCAAACATCTGAACTTCATTATTAATTGGTAAGGCTATGTTTTCTTTGAGGACTACCACTTAAAACATCTGCTGGCATGGCATAAAAGATGCTAGAATATCCCCAAGTAAGATGATTCACAAGTACAGTCAGAGGAGAATTGTGGCAGTCTCTAGCCCAACCTGCTGCTCAGAGCAGGGTTGGCTGGAACATCAGACCAGGCTGCTCAGCACTTTTGTCCAGTCAGGTGCTGAAAACTTCCAAGGATAAAGGTTTCACCACTTCGCCTATCCCTGTGGTGAAAAAAAGATGTTTCTCACTAATTCAAATTATACAGTTCAAAAGCTGGCCAATGTAGGAGTCAAAAGGAGACTATGAAGACAAAATTCTGAATACATAGTAAAAATCCTATTCTAAAAGCTTATCCAAATATTTAAATTTTACTGGTTTTAGAAATATTACTACCAGTAGCCTAGTTCCCTAGATAAATAATGATGACATAATGGCTATGTTCTGATATGCTAGCTTTGTTGCTAGCATATCTACTCTGCATATCTAGTCTACTAGTCTGGAAATAACATTTCACAACTAAAACGAAAGATTATCAAGTATCCATTTATTTTATCCTTGATCTATTTACCCCACATTTTAAAAGGCATTTTAATACTCATAACCCTGCTCTATGAAGCCTATACATTAAATGTTCCATTTAAGAACACAAAAGTTGGGAAGGAAGGAGTATTAAAATGGCCCTCCTAGACTTAGTTTTACAACTCAGCATTGTTAAAACATCAGCTTTACAATTGTAAAAACAGAGGAAGATAAATGACTGCAGTACCAAAGTCTGCAAAACACAGTAACTGCCAGCCAAACATACCCTGAAGTACTGACACTGTGAGAGGAGGTTTTAGTATATAATCTGTTTCTGAAATACTCATGACCTCTATGCTTGTAATAGTCTCAGACTTAACACTTACCCCAAAGATTTACTGACAAATTATTTCATCAGCTAAGCTTACGTAAAGGCACTATATACTTATGAATTTACTCACTTGAAAAATTAGGATATTCTGATGTTGGCTTTAGGAAAATATTATTTCTACAACACTTTCTATCCTGAATACCTATGCAAAAATTGGGAGTGTTCAGTGCTTACAGTGACCACTGCACACATGTTGGGTCCATGCACCCTGAACATGCTACTTCACAGCTGGTGGCACATGGGATTTTGTGTAGCAGGGAACTGACACAACTAAAATCCATCAGATTACCACAGAGGGCAAAAGAAGAAAACTTGACAAAACTGTGGCAGAAAAGAGAACACTGAGCAAGTTCTGCTTGCATCATATAAGGTATGAGAGAATAAAACTTTGCTAACAGAACAAAATCAGAAGAAAACAGTACACTGGAAACTAGTATCTCTGGGTACCTAGCAGTAAATAAGGCTGCAAAAAAAGAAACGCCAGCTCAGCTTTACATAATCCACTGAAAATACCAAAAACGGTTACAAACACTTTTTAATATCCACTACTTTTCAATACCACATGCCATATTCACTTGGCTCAGCCTGTACAAGGTCAGTTATCTCAGACTAGGGATCTGTTATGCCAACAGAGAACAGTTCTTAACCCCCAAGACATGCATTTCCCCCCAAACCAACTGCAACACACACCTTTTACTTGAGGATGTACGATGTGAAAGACAAATCTGTGTCTCACACATTCCTGTATGCATTCCAAAGCAGAGACTGAATGATTTGAGGAGAAAAAGCTACAGGAAGGAAACTTGTCTACTGTCTCCAGAAGAAAGATTCTGCTTTGAATCCCACTGGTACAGTAGATGGGTGAGAAATCAGGGGGATACAGAAAAAAAAAAAAAAACCAACTCAAAAAGATGATTGTTGCCAAGAGTAACTGCTTACCCAAGGAGTCATAAAGAAACTGACATTATTGGTACCAAGGTCTATGAAAGCTATTCTTTTAACTTACCTGTAAACTAAATATAAAATAGCCACTAACACTTTGTTCTGCAATCACATCCTCCATGGTGCGCAAGGTAGTGCCCAAGTATGAGTTCAGGAGCTGAGTAGGAAGCAGTCCAACTGAGGAAGCCATCAGGTAGTTGGGTAGTGACAAATCTGTAATCTGAGTAAAAGAGAGCATAAGAAATGGAGCACAGTTCCAACACAGTCTATGTGCACAAACAGCCAGACTGCCACTCCCATGCAAAATAATGAAAGAATTTCTCACATTCCTTCACTGAAAGTTTCTAATGTGTGTGAGTCAAAATAGTACAGGGCTAGTTTTCATCCAGCCTTTTAAAAGTTCTTAGGTTTTATTTTGTTTCACCTTACTGTACAAAACATCTCTGTGCAGAAGTCATTAACTAAGGATGCAATTTCACTGTTCATTCAAGATGTTTATTTCTTCATGTTGAACAGAGGCCTATAATTTATGAGCATTTGCCTGCAGGAAGAAATTACTTTATCAAATGTGACAGTCTAAAGCAAAAGCCTATTTGCTTTGCATTTTACACATATGGCAACTGATAAGAGGCAATTGCTTAAAATGTTTTTGTATTAAATATCTAGGTAAACAGAGCAGCAGATACAATTGGCCTCTGCAAAGGAAGTTATATATCTCATCCAGATACATGTATCTGTCAGTGATCTCCATCAGTGATATTTATCTGTATCTGCCCTGAGATATATGGGTATCATTAAGAATCTCTACCCAAGATGTTTTACATCACACTTTCATTACTTAGTACACAGTTACGGCTTTTGTTAATTTCTCTGGAAAAAAACACTAACAATACATCAAAATATTTTCCTCTCTTTGCTGAAATTTCTGTTCTCAGCCAATATGTGGACAGTTTACATGGGAAAAAATACACAGTACTAGCTAAATTAGTATCATCAGCCATTAGGAAATATTAAATGAAAGAACCAAGAGGCCAAAGGATATTTACTCAGAAAACCAGAAACAGGAGAAAACTACAGGTTAAAAACGAGTACAAAAAGGGTGATTCTGAAAGAAGCAGGCTAAGGAATTTTCCAGACAATTCAGTATATCACATAGTCATAAAACAAGTTCTAATTAAGAACAGCCCCTAACACTGGGAGCCTACACGGAAATTATTGACCTTGACAGTTCTGTACAATGTCAAAGACAAGAGAATAGCAGCAAAGTTACTCATTTCATCATGCTATTCTTAAAATAAACTTTGGTTACTATGAAAGTCACAGTGCTGAGTTCTTAAAGCTCTAAGCACCATCAGTGGAAAGTTTTGGGGAGGAAGGAAGGGCAATGGAGGAGGCAAATGCACTGAAGCGTAAAGATTGATTCACTGGAACAAGATCCAGTAACTCAAATCAAAACGTCATGCCGCAAACTCTTCTTCCCACAGACTGAAATATACACCAGCAGCGCAAATAACACAGTTCCTCTCTACACAAGATTAATTTAGGTTTATAATGAAAAAGCTCTACATAATTCATAGAATCACAGAATGCTTAGACCTTAAAGGTCATCTAGTTCCAACCCCTTGCCATGGACAGGGACACCTTACACTTAGACCAGGTTGCTCACAGCCCCATCCAAACCGGCCTTGAACACTGCCAGGGAAGAGGCATCCACAACTTCCTGGGCAACCTGTTAACAATGCCTCACCACCCTCACAGTAAAGAATTTCTTCCTCACATCTAATCTAAATCTATCCTCCTTAAGTTTAAAGCCACTACACTTTCTCCTATCCCTGCATGCCCTTGTAAAAGTCCCTCTCCAATTATGTCAAAACTTAATTTGACCAATGCTTTGAAACTTTTTTTATTTCCCCCTGAACAGAATAGTAATTTGGGCCATGCAGTAAGAATGCACAACCAAAATTTAACATATTGCCAAGGGAATGAAGGAGCTGCTATTAAAAGTCTCTGAAATACTAATGCTGAGGCAAGATTTGCTAAGTAGGGCATTGTCATTACATGTAATGGAGCTGGGAAACTTCCCAAAGATTGTTTTAATGCTCCCAGGCACCTCTCTCATTTCTGAACACACATTAAGGACACTTTGGTTGCAGAGCAACACATATGCACACCTGGATTTGTCCTGAAGCAACTGGACCTCCTGAGCCATGAAAGAGGCTCCAAAGGAGAGGCTGCCAATGAACACACTGAACTGCAACCTGTGCTTCCATTAAAATGAAAGCTAGGGAAAGCAGGGTGCAATCTTGTAGGTGCCCTTTTAACCACTGGTTTGCAAGGCTTAGACCTACAGTAGTATTCTTTCCCCCAGCAGGCACAAGAGGTGAACAGTGTCCCTGCCTAAAAAAGCAAAGAAATCTGCAATAGAACTTACAGCTTTCCATTTCTTTCCTTTAATGAACTTGACTTATTCTACAAACCTGCTGGACTGGGGTCTGTGTGACCAAACACAGCTTCTGCCAGGCAGAAGCTACCAAAACTCCATTTCTAGTGAAAGCTCAAGCCAGGAAAAATTAACAGTGAAATCCCAAAGTGTGCATGGATATAACTGTGTTATGGGCCTAACTGACATATTTAAATGAAATTAAGAACTACCTAACTGCTCTGGTAACAAGACTATTAGCCAGAAAATGTCCCAGTAAGCCTTGGACAGGCTTTGTCTGGTAAAATTTCTCTGTAGTCTTTGCAGCTCACAACTTTGGTTCAGTACTATCAAAGAATAAATGCTTGTGTCGGGACTTTGTTGGGGGTTTCACATGCCTTTAGGGACTGCAGTAGATTTCTCTCCCCTCAGCTTACAAACCTGTGTGTTTCAGATCTGGTAGGCCTAGCAACTGAGTACAAAGGACAGTGTTGATGCTCTTTTATTTCCTTGGGGTGGGGGTTGAGGTTCAATGTGCTGTGAGAGGGGGGAAGAATAAAACCTGCAATGCCACCAAGTAGTAAACAAAAAACAAGACAAAAAATAGCTATCAACTTTTCAAGAAGCAGAGTAAGCAACCTGCCTGTTCTTGCAAAGCAGGTACCATTTCTTCACATCTGATTTCACGTTGTGTGTTTCTAGAACCAGAGATGTTCACTTGGACACTCTAGATTTCTTTTTTTAGACAGATTATTTCATACACGTGATACTCCTCTCAAAGAGGAGAAGAAATAAAGAAAGATAAATTCTGATCTAACCTACACCTGGCACTACAAATAATCAGTTTGCACAAACCTTGCTCCAGGGGGCTACTAGTAAGAAGGAGGTGATAACCTGCATACCACGGCTCCTTACGGACCTGCCTTCAAAGCACTCAAGAGTTGCCAAGGGAAGACGGCTGTGGGTGGGCAAACACACCAGTAACAGCTATCAGCCCACCCCAGCAACTGAGGCCAACCTCGCATCACAGAAGCAACAATTAAACAATACCCACTCAAAGAGAAATACGAACATGCTTTCAGTTAACAAGTTTCTAGGTCTTCATAAAGGCAAGTAAATGCATTACCCTACTGCTCCTACTATCAGCACTTTCCCAAAGAGCAGCAGAATGAACTTAAACAAGATGCTTATGTCTGGCTGGTGAAAGACTAAGGAACTTGTGTTAATTTTCCTCTTGTGCTGTTTCAGCTAATATAATCCCATCACTTGCCAAATGATAGGAAGCTCTTCCTCTCTACTGTACACTCCCTGGCAATTCAACCTCCTCAATCCCCTCCGCAGGTGGTACACACCACTGAATAAATACTTGTGGAAATCCATTAATCCCAGCTCTGCAGATGACCACTCCCACATCAAGGTTATGTTCTGCCCTGGACTTCATGTGTCACTTCCTCCCTTCCCTCGCATTTAAGCATTCTCAGTATCTCCCGTTTACTTATACGTATGCACACAGACCAGACTGCTGGAAAATTAAAGATGCATAGGTTTTCTTAAGACCACTGGTCTCTTCTCCACTATTAAGAGCAATCCTTTTCAAATTCATTCTAAAGCTGCTGGGATGGGGAATGGATAAATGGTTAGGGCACCCCAAAACCCGTTGCAATTTTAACTTTTCAAATAAATCAGATTTCAAAGAAATTAACAACTTGACCTGTGCAGGTAGAATTTTGTATTATATACATAGTTTACACTTGACTAACAGCGAGAAACTGCCCCGAATTCCCAGATTTGCATGCAACTTCTTTAATTTTCAGTTATCTAGCAGTTCATATTAAACGTTCTCAGTTAAAATTTGAACACATTGTGCTTTGACTATGCTGTGCAGTAGTAAATCCAGAGTAATAAACGTAACCCAAAGTAGTTTTAGCAGGGAATATCCAAGGTACTTGGCATATCAAGAATCTGGTTTCATTTCATTTCCTATCTGTTATTTTAACACTGAAACCTTCCCCTTGGAAAGAAAATTATTTAGCTTGCAGTACTCAGAGAATACAAAATGCTGATTTACAGCATCATTTTAATATTGCACTGGGCTGAATGCTCTGCTCAATTGTGTTTCCAACCAAATGGTTTGCCAGGAAGGAAATCTTTTTAACCCAGTAATTCTCTGGCCAGTTCTCAAGATTCAATACTACTCTACATCTGCTAACTACTTCAAGTGACATCCAGAAGCTGTGAACAACTGGAGCACAACAGCTCTCCCCACTTTAGGAGGGTCACACTACAGCAGAAACCTCATCTGCAACACCGGGAACTTTGACTCCGGGGGGACTCTGCTCCCAGATGCATGGGTCTAAGCTTCCTCAGTCCTGCAGTAATATAGGGAAATAAAACAGCTGAGTTTCTTCTCAATGACAAGGAAATAGTTAAATGACCTGCTTAAAAAGAAATTATAAGTTGCTACAGCTTTTAAGGACAGAGACTGCAGCTCTTGAGATGAACGCCTCAGCATATATAGCTTTATACATAGCAACTTCAAATATTTGATGGGGGTGTTAACCCCTAAAAATTGTGTGGATTTTTTCTTAAATAAAAAAATTGGTATTCAGTGATCTATGCATTTCAATCAGATGATTTTGTCAGAATTAAGCAAGCACTTCAGAAAGGTACAGGACCTGGACTGCAGAAGGGGGGAAGGAAAGTATACTGTAACAAAGTGGCAGACCAAACCCCTGTTTTAGAGGGTCTCTTACACTAAAGAACTTATGATTTCCTGTTAAACGCTTAAAATATTTCACCATCTGGTTTGCTTTGTTTTGATTTCACAGAGTTAGCAGACACAACTAAGGCATAACACACAGCCAAAACCAAAACCTTCAGACAAAGCATCAGGAAGAGATGAGGGTCTGAAATTGCCATCATCAGCATGATGGTGCTCAAAAAGGGGCCCCTCCTTTAAGATTACCAGAGAGAACAGTAAGATTATAAATTTTACATGGCTGCTCTTACTGGCATTTAAAAGTAGAAAGAAAAGCCAGAATAACCCCCTCTCATCCAGAATAACCCCCTGTCAAAGTTTAAACCAACTTTCAATACCACTGTGGTGTACAGTCTTTTCAGCTCTAAAGCTACATCGTCCTACTTTGCCCAAGATATGTGGCCTCTCTGATGTGCATGGACCTACCACGTATGGATTTGCCACATGTATCCTACAAACACCAAGCAGAGGATAAATTTTGTCAATTTCTTTCTTTCCAATGTAATTATATTAAGTAGTTCAGAGAGATCTGACATTACCACTTAAAAACACAACTTATCCTCCCACTCCAATCACTTTGAAAACACAGGCACTTAAAAACTGTTGTGCTCTCCACAGATTTTGCTAACCAGCACACTGGTGCTTCTCTCCAATATCAGAATAAGGTCTTGAAACACAGACAGCAGCTCTAACACAGTGACACCGAACAAGGCACCTTGAAAACCTGACATCAATCCACAAGCACAGAAGAGCCACTAGCAAAAGCAGGCAAGGGAATATTACTTCTAATGCTGTTAGAAAAGAAAGAAACCAAGGTTTCTTCCAGGGAAAGCAGGCAACCTCCACCACTGACACCGGCCGCCACCCTTCCAGCCAGAGCTTCTTCCTTGGCCACACGGGAACTCACCGCGAAGACAGCATTCTGCAGCCCAAAGGGGATCGGGGTCAGCCGTGCCAGAGCCACCACCTTGAGGCCGCTGCCGCCCTCCACGACGCGGACGATGGCACTGAGTGTCTCGCTGCCCTGGATCCTGGTCCGCGCCCAGTGGGCCAACAGCCGCTTGCAGACCACGTGGGCGACAAAAGTGCCCACAAGGACGCCGAGCACCATCAGCCCCATGCCCAGCCAGAAACCATAGAGGTAGCTGGCGGCCACGTTGAGCAGGATGTAGCCCCAGCCGCAGGGGAAGGACACGATGATGAAGCCCACGGTGAAGAGCAGCACACCTGCCAGGCTGTCCAGGCTCTCGGCCCAGAGCACCAGGTCTCGCAGGTACTGGCGCACCAGGGCCAGCGAGGCGAAGCAGAGGGCTGCCAGAACGCACACGCTGAGGCAGCTCTTGCACCAGCAGGTGCCCAGGAGGCAGCAGGAGCAGCGCCAGCCCCGGGCCTCGGCCAGCCCGGACCCGCCGCCGCCCGCCTCGGGCAGCTGGCAGAGCAGCAGCTCCGCCGGCGGCAGCCCGCCCTGCTCCACGTATGGCCGGAGCAGCAGCCCCTCAGCTCCCGCCGCCTCTGCTGGGACGAAGCCGACGGTACCCCCGCCGCCGCCTCCTGCCGCCGTCCCAGCGGCTCGGGACAACCAGCGGCCCAGGTCCTGCCGGGCCCCCTGCGCCGCCGCCTGCTTCACGGCTCGGGAGAGCAGCTGCAGCGCCGCGGTCCCCGCGCCCCACATACCCCCACCCCGCCGCCCTGCTCTACCGCCGCGGAGCCGCCCAGCCCCGTCGCTTCCCGCCTCCGCAGGCAGCCAGCGGGCAGGGGCGGCTGCTCCCTCATCGCCCCGCCATGGCCCGGCTGCCGGCGGCGGAGCCCAGCCGAAGGCCGGGCGGGGGCGGGGAAGCGGCAGCGGGGCGGTCGGGAAGGTGGGGACCGCGCTTCGCCGCCGCGCGGGCCCGGCAGGCGGACGGTCCGCGGCGGCCTCCGAGCTGCCTCCCCCCTGAGTTAGACAGCAGCGGCAGCGCCGCGCTCTCCGTCCCGGCAGTGGCGGCCCTGGCGGAGCGCGAGTCCCGGGGGGCGGCAGCGGCGGCAGCAGCAGCAGCGGAGCTCCATCTCCCGGCGCGCTGGTCTCCCCTCTGCGAAACGCGTTCTCTCAGCGGCGGTGCCGATGTGGCAGCCCGGGCGCCGCTCGCAGCGAAGAAGGAGGCGGCTCAATTCCGGCGGCAGCACAGCCCAGCCCCGCTCCGGGGCTCGGCGGCAGCGCCGCGGCCCGCCCCCCGCTCCGCCCCGCCCCGCCCCGAGGCGGGTGTGTCTGCGCGGGCCTCTTTCCTCGCCCGAGGGAGCAAGGCGGTGGAGGGTTTGGGTGGTGGTTCCTTGCCCTGTTCCCGGCAGCCCTCGTCCAGAGCTGCAGGCAGCAGCGAGGAGAGGAGCCGCGCTGGGAAGCCGGTGATTTTGTGTGAGAGGAGCGGGTGGCTGAAGCGCTTCTGAGTAGATACTCGCATCGCGGCGGGTTGACCCACCCGACGGCTTAGCTCACATGCCTGAAGGCTCAGACACGCTTTCGGACTGTTCGAGCTTGAATTTTGAGCCATTGGTAGAATAAAACAGCCTGAATACGGAGATCAGTGCACAGGGGGCCTTTCTCTGAAGCGTCACCGAGGCTCGGCAGCTTCGTAGATGGCTGTTGCTCTGGCGTTACTAATGACAGAAGCTGTATAGTGCAGAAAGGGTTTTGTTTCCTTTACAACACTTAAACGTACTATGCGTTCCAGTAGCGTTACATTCCTCCACTAGGAAATTTGCATGCATATATAAAACAAGACTGTGTGTGGGAGCTGTAAAGGTTAAAGAGTGATTGGAAAAAAAATGAAGAGCATATCTTGTGTATACTGCAGATACATTCACTTGCCAAGGATGCCATTTAGAAATGATACAGCATGAGTAGTCCAACAAATCAGCCTAAGAAAATATCAGATGTCTTTGAGTACCAAAGCAGAATAAAACAATCCTGGGAGACACTGTACAACAGGGACCTGCAGATAAATATCTCCAGCATAATCTGCTTTCTTACTGTCACTTGTATCCCAGTGTGAGCATTTGATTTTGTGTGTTCTCCTTCCTTACAATGCAAACACAGGGCATACATCCGATAATAATAGTATTATTGTAATTACAATAATGCCCCACACTGCGGGTTGTAAAGGGTGGTTGACATGCTTGTACATTCAGTAAGGCATTTCAGTAAACTGGGGATGGCTGGAAGTTTAGTAGAAAACCAAGACAAAATATTCTGGTTTTATATTAAGAGCGTGTATGTTTTTGATGTGGTTTCAGGTTGCGTGTATTTTTGTTCAGTGCAGTTGCTTTCACAGAATATGAAAAAGCCTGAGTGGAAATGTCTATCAGAGTTCCACACTTTACGCTGCCCCTACATTTCTGTATTTAAAGTGTATAACCTTGTTGGAATGAATTGCCTGCTGTTGCTCCTAAAAGCCTCAGGGTCTGTATTTGTAATCACAGAAAACATACTTGCAAGACGAACATCATAGTCTATCTAACTGACAATCCTGAGATTACACTCCAAACTATAAAAATATTTTAACTAGTTAGCTGGGGGAGATGTTTTTCTAGTCTCTAAGAGTATGCAGGCTGAAACTTCTTGATCTCATCAATCCCTAAAATGTCCCTAGGTTCCCTTAAAAATCTCTAGGTTCCCCTAAAATAGCTAACCCTGGCATTGTATAGATCCCTAGAGCAATAGGTCAGGGAGGAAAAACAACAGGCAGTCAGATTTAGAGTAATGTGGAGTAAGAGCTGAAGCATCTTTGGATAAACATCCAAGTGAGTCCACAGGAATTCAGCAGGACTGGGGTGGAGCTGGGAGCCCTTCCCTTGCACATAGCAGATACAGCTACAGAGCTGAGAGCAGTGTCAGCTGGCACCTGCGAGCCTTCCCAATAAGCTCTTACCATCTCAAGGGGGAAAAAAAAAACCTCACAACATCCTTGAAAATGTGCCAAATTGGCAGATTGCTGGACAAAATGCTGGACTAAACAGTTCACCTTTCGCCCTTACTAGTCAGTGATTGATAATATATTCCCTTACTATGTGTGATGCGGTTGCAATGGTTTGATGATATAAGCAAGGCAAGCTCTGTAAGGAAAAGCAGTTACCTTCTCCTAGACCAATCACTACACTTAGAAAAACAGACAAGCTCTTGAATACACAGCTCCTGGACAAACATTTTGTGCTCCAAAAGGTAGCACTGATTTTTGTTTGTTGGCACTTACTTTTTTTCCTCGGGTAGGTTAGTTAAGTTGATTTAGTGAATAATCTCCAACAAATGTTGTCTAACCTGTTCTATAAAAAAGCACTGCTGCCTTGGTTAGCTTCAGAAATTATTTGAAGCAATGGAGATAAAAATTACAGGTCTAGTACGTATGGGTTTAAATGGTTCTCAAAACTGCTCCTGAGTTATCTAGTTTCTCATTAAACTCATCTGTCATTTGAACTAATTTCTTACCTCTCTTTATATATAATTTTGGTATTTGCCAATAAACCAGTGTAAAACCTGAGAGGCACAGGGTAACAGCCAGAGGACTCTTCTGCTTCAAGAAAAGGCGTTTCTATAGGAAGATGCTCTCATAATTACATAGATTGTTGTGGATATTGAAGAACTTTTGCCATGTGGTGTTTTTTTCCAGGTCTGTGTTGTAGATCCAGGATATTTCCTTGACCTAGCATGAGCAAAGCTGAGCAACACTATTTTGTGTTTTGAAACTCTGCTTCTCCTGTCTCATTTTTTATTTCAAAGAATATTGGCATGCGAACACACCCAGCTAACTGTGTGGGTCATCTTATTGAAATGAAAGACATGACTCATTTAGGCCCATGCAACTGGTCCACACTTCAGGGGTCCTGAAGCAAGAGAGTAGGATACATTGGACCTGTTGGATCAAGTCCAGAGGAGGGCCATGGGAATGACCAGAGGGCTGGAGCACCTCTCCTATGAACACAGGCTAGAGAGTTGGACTCAGCCTGGAGAAGACAAGGCTCTGGGGAGTTCTTAGAGCAGTCTTCCACTACCTGTAGGAGATCTACAAGGAAGATGGAGAGGGACTTTTTACAAGGGCATGTAGGATACGTCAGAGTGTAATGGCTTTAGTCTTAAGGAGGATAGGTTTAAATTAGATGTAAGAAATTTTTTAGAGGGTGGTGAGGCACTGGCACAGGTTGCCAGAGAAGTTATGGATGCCTCATCCCTGGAAGTTTTGAAGGCCAGGTTGTAGAGGGCATTGAGCCACCTGGTTTAGTGAAAGGTCTCCCTGCCTACAGCAGGGCAGGCTGGAACTAGATGACCTTTAAGGTTTCTTCAACCCAAACCGTGCAGTAATTCTGTGATTAAGCCACAAATCAGGAGCCAAAATATTCTGCAAGGTTCTGTAAACTTGCCTTACTTATTTCTGAATTGCTCTTTGGGATGAAGAAGCAGGACTTTTTTGAGAAGATGATGTTAAAGGCTGTAACTCCAAGGTACTTCTACATGCTTCTGCTGTTTAATTCCATCAGTGTTAATGTGAAGGTCCTTTGGTGGGAACTGCAACATTGATTTTGTCAGGAGTAACCATTCTTTGGCCACAGCAGGCTGTAACTAGAAGTACTTTCATCTTATCTGCAGCAGTACTCCTTGTCGTACATTCCTTTACATCCATATGAAGGGAGGTGAATACACTTTGTTCATGCAGGAAGTATACTTTTTGCTGTTTAACACAGAATGAGTTGCAAGCATTTGGGGGAAGATATTAGCAAGGAGCAAGCCATGACCAGAGAAATTAATCTGGTAGATCATAATAATGGCTGGAGAAATTATTCTGCCAGTGGTGCCAGGGCCTGAGCACCACAATTTGGGTAGTTATTTTAAATGTGTTAATTCACAGTTTAATCAAAGTGAATGAGAAGTATGCTGAAGGAAAATAATCTATCAGGTAGCTTTATATGAGATTGGTTAAATTCCCAGTGAAAGGTGATAGTTCTGAAGTTGCTGTTTCAGAAACAGGAGGTGTAAGATAAGAAATGGCACTACTATTAGTTTAGGATTGCTTCAGTGTTTTAATTCTTTGGACAAATATCAATCAAGATGGAGCAGAGCTTGTATTGCTTTCACCCGGAGCTATCTAGATTAGAAAAGATCTTTAAATAAAAGACACAGTCGTAAAAAAAAGGACATGTCCTTTATTGAGTCAATAAAACTCAATAAATATATCTATTAAAGAGTACTACAAGTCTTAGAGTGGGAATCCAGACAGTGTTATTTTGCAGCTTGATTCATTAGGTGTCTACATATAGGACTAGAAACTTCATTATTTATAGTCCCAGCCTCCCAGATAAGAGCCATACAATCATGCTAAAAACATTGAATTTTATATACTATCATAAATTTGCATAATTCAGAATATGAATTTGTTTATGTTCATACATGTTTACACATAAAAAATATGGTTTAATACATAATTTTACAAGAACCATGTCAAGCAGATTTTATTTAAAGCTGTATGTAAGGCATGAACAGAAATTAAATACAATAAGCAACGTGCTGAAATATTTACATTAAAGGGAAGAGTTTGAGACATCACTCTGCCATTAGTTATTATATAAATAGTGACACATCTTAAACAAGTCCACTCCAGTAGAACTGAGGATTTATGATGTCTTGCATGATATTCCTTAGAGTTGTCCTAGCCCAGAAACAGCAAGTGAGAAACCTTAATCATCCCTATACATAAGGCAAAAATACAGCTATATATTTAGTATTTCTGCAGCTGCTTAGAACTGTTGCAGTCATGGAAAACTTAAGCTAATTCATCTTAAAGACTCACATGGGATTCTTCCTTGCAAAAGGATATCCTTAGATTGACAGAAGAAACTTCCGCCAATTTTTCCTATGAAATGGTGGCCTTGTTGCCAAAAGGCCACATTAGTCATGGGTTGTTGGTGTAATGCAGAGTAGGCTAAAGTTTGGAAGTCACAGAACTGTACATAAGGACTAGACTAGCTTTGCAGACCTTGGAAATGATAAGCTATAGAAGAAAGACCACTTAAAAGTGACTAAAAGAAGTGTGACTAAATATATACCATGCTCAGGGCACTTTTTAGTGGCACGAGTTTAGGAAAATGGCAATGTTACCATATCTTTAGTGTCATGTTTTCATCAGTTCCCATGCATCTGTGTCTTTCTAGCAGTATACTTTGATATTCTTCAACAAACTGTCACATTCCTTTTGATACATCAGCAATGCATTTTAGCCAATTCCCTTTGTAAAAGCTGTATCTGTCTCTTTATACACTTATATATATATATGTATATACTTTTAAAGTTTACTGGACTAAGTTTCAAAGCAAAGAAAAGTAGACTGCATTTTCACTAATTCCATGGCAAGGGTGTAGTCCTAACAGGTTATGAATTGGAGGTTAGTTTCTCCTAGTATTTTTACATCAGTGATTTTTGTAAAAAATATTTAACATTAAAGGTTAACCCAAAATCCAAAGGTTCTCTATTAACACCACAGTAATATTTGACTTAATTTTACTATTAAGCTTTATCAAGCAGCTTTACAGTTGGCTTCAAGTGAGCACTGAAGCACAATATTGTATTTGAGTTTGTGGCTTGGATAAACAAACACGTTTAAGTTTGCTGGTACAAAGCAGGTGACTGATCTCAGTTACAGCAGTCCAAGATCAGAAAGAAGCTCATGGATTTATGTTTTCATGTTGTCTTGATTTATAATTAGCTTTTACATAGCAAAGTTTTAGCAGCCCTTTCTCATCTTGTTATTCCTTTAACTGAGAAACCACAATGTGGTAACTGCCGGCAGGCATTGAACATAGCAAGTCTTTATGCCTCCGTAGAAGGATGAGGACTGAATAAATATCAGCTTCTAAAATCAATGGCAGAACACTTGTCTTACTTATCAGGCACTGTTTCTGCAACAAAGCTCGAATACATTGGTCTACATGTTTACAATCTTTGTTGTAGCGTATCTACTAAATTTTATATTTTTATTAGTTTCCAGCTAGACTAACTGATGAGTTACAAACCTCCTCTAAGGGAACATTCACATTTTATATGAAACACTGGTGTAAACATGATTTGAAGCCTAATTTACTTCCCATGCTAACTGTTATGGCCCTAGCACCAGGCAAAAGAGCATCTTAACTAGAATCCCCAAAAGGCAGAGTTGTATAGGCAGCCTGGCTCTCTTCTGCTGTGTAGTTTAAAGGAGAGGCAGAATATGACTGAGTTTGGAAAACAGTTCACAGTCTCACCTCTTATGTGTTAAGACTGCAAAATGGAAACTCCACTTCTTGCCTGCTTCTTCTAGGCTCTGGTGTCTGCACCGCTGCTCCAGCAGCTGACATGGGGCACACTGGAGCTGAACGAACAGCAATTCATTAGGTTTGAAATAAATATTTTGCCAAAGGCTTGGAGTGTCTTCTCTTTTGAAGTATTCAGTAGTCCTCAGCAGGCTTAGTGTGCCCTCAGGAACTCA